ATTTATCTTAAGTTTTCAAAATGTATGTCATGGAGAATTGCCATGTTGTTAGTCTACCTGGCTGTTGGTTCCCTTCTCAGGCAGAATATTGGGCTGGGAGGACCCTGCTCAGACCTGGTAGGATCCATCTCATCATCTTACAACAAAATAGTCATTGACATGAGACAGCAGATTACCTTCCTTATTATCCATCAGTCAGGACCTTCAAAAACATGTCAAGATTTGTATCTTTTTTTTTTTTTAGTTGATACCTCATTGTAATTTTTTTGTTTTACATCTTTATTGGAGTATAATTGCTTTACAATGGTGTGTTAGTTTCTGCTTTACAACAAAGTGAATCCGTTATACATATACATATGTTCGCATATCTCTTCCCTCTTGCGTCTCCCTCCCTCCCACCCTCCCTATCCCACCCCTCCAGGCGGTCACAAAGCACCGAGCTGATCTCCCTGTGCTATGCGGCTGCTTCCCACTAGCTATCTACCTTACGTTTGGTAGTGTATGTATGTCCATGCCTCTCTCTCGCTTTGTCACAGCTTACCCCTCCCCCTCCCCATATCCTCAAGTCCATTCTCTAGTAGGTCTGTGTCTTTATTCCTGTCTTACCCCTAGGTTCTTCATGACATTTTTTTTTCTTAAATTCCATATATATGTGTTAGCATATGGTATTTGTCTTTCTCTTTCTGACTTACTTCACTCTGTATGACAGACTCTATGTCTATCCACCTCATTACAAATATATTTGTCTTTCTTTCTGACTTACTTCACTCTGTATGACAGACTCTATGTCTATCCACCTCATTACAAATAGCTCAATTTCGTTTCTTTTTATGGCTGAGTAATATTCCATTGTATATATGTGCCACATCTTAAATGATAGTTAAGTGAATCAATGTGGGTGTTTCCACTCTCAAGGAGCAGGTTTTACACGTTTTACTTCCAAGGCAGCCTTTCTCCAGACAGACTGCTGCTTAACTTTCCATTTTGATTTTCTTTAGACTCAGCATTTTAAATAAGGAAGATGCTAATTGAGTTGATTTAACATAACATAGGAAAATTTCTTAAAATGATCTGTTTATATTTACATTCACCTGTTGGTTTTAGGTTAGGTGAATTGGCTTACTATTTCTTTTATTTAGTTCCTTTCAAGTACCTGAAACTAAATGTAAATTACACCTCAGCAGTAATGTCAGCGGAAGCGGTAATAGCAATGATCTAACTTTGTATTAATCTTCCTCAAATAAACAGGCAAAATGATTGATGTTACTCTTTATAGCAACATCATACATAATTTATTTAGCTATACTTTCAAAACCTTAATCTGTGATTGTCAAAGTTTGATTACTAAATATGTTCCCTGTTAGGATGCTTCTCCTGTTTTTATTGAAAACTCACATTCTGCTATACAACTGATCTTCACTGTTTGCATTCCTCTGTATGGCTTATATAGTTGTGTTGCCTTTTCACTGAACAGTTTCAAACATGTGAACTCACCTTAAAAGGAAAACTCAGTGTCTGCTTATTGGAATTTTTTTTTTTTTTTTTTTTTTTTTTTGCGGTATGCGGGCCTCTCACTGTTGTGGCCTCTCCCTTTGCGGCGGAGCACAGGCTTCGGATGTGCAGGCTCAGCGGCCATGGCTCACGGGCCCAGCCTCTCCACGGCATGTGGGATCTTCCCGGACCGGGGCATGAACCCGTGTCCCCTGCATCGGCAGGCGGACTCTCAACCACTGCGCTACCAGGGAAGCCCTGCTTATTGGAATTTAATGATTGTATTTAATTGAATTTAATGATTGGCAGTAACCATGAAAAAATCTACAGACATGAGACTGTAATTGACAGTGGGTCACATACTGAGTTACATGCTCCAGCTATTTTTATAAGAAGATTAATCATCTCTCTTAGTTGTTCTCAAACTTTAGTATAAATGTAAGAAATACCAGTAAAATGCAGATTCCTTTCCAACTCTGATTCAGTATGTCTGGAGGGATGCATAGGAATCCATACTTTTTTTTTTTCTTTGCGGTAGTGGGCCTCTCACTGTTGTGGCCTCTCCCGTTGTGGAGCACAGGCTCTGGACACGCAGGCTCAGCGGCCATGGCTCACGGGCCCAGCCGCTCCGCGGCATGTGGGATCTTCCCGGACCGGGGCCCAAACCCGCGTCCCCTGCATCGGCAGGCGGACTCTCAACCACTGTGCCACCAGGGAAGCCCGGAATCCATACTTTTTATAAGCACCACTGATGATTTTGAGTCAGTGGTTTATGGGCTAGACTTCAAGATGGTCTGATTAATTAATGTTCTTTCCAAAGCATGGTCCCTTTTCTCTGGAAAGTTACCTTACTCGAAGGACAAGGCAAAAGTGAGAAAAGAGACTTACTCAATCTCACATTTTGGCTTTATCCATGTCTATTTTGAAATAAAACATTTCTATTTTACCTTGGTCTTAACTGATCTCACGGGAAGAGAGCAAGATGTGGAGGAAAGTAACAAAAATTATAAACCAACCAACAAACAAAACACACACACACACACACACACACACACACACACACACACACAATTATAAACATATAACTAGGCCCACTCAGGTACTGCCATGACGCCATCCTGACCAGTGCCACTAAGGGGTAATTTGTGTGAAAACATGGTATTTGAGCATGTAAAAAACATTGAGCATGTGTCGTTTCCTTAATTACCTATTATACCCCAGTCATCCCTGAATCTAGATGAAGATTTGGAGGGAGTGCGGAGGCTAGAGAAGGGAACAGGGGAGCTCAGCCCAGGTTTGTCTCTAACAGTTGAAGATGTAAACATGCAGAGTGGAGAACTGAGGAAGAGTCTTCACGTGACAGTGTAGAACCTTGAGAACATTGAATAAAGTGAAAAATTGAGGTACTGGAGAAAGTCATCGGAATACATGAGGACGTTTTTGAACAGAGAGGGCTGGAGAATTAATAGCTCCATGACTTTTCACACAAGAGCTCTCATCCTCACCGTAATCTTGAAAGAAGGCATTTTAGCCTGGGTTAACAGAGGAGCAGACTGACAGTGGCTAATAGGTAATAGAGGCAGGGTATAAACGAGGGCAAGCTGGCTCCCAAGCCCTTGTTCTTTCTGCTAGTCCTTATCTTTGTCTAACACTGACCAGTCCAATGACCCCAAATTAAGTCAGGATATGTTTGCCAGCCAAGGTCGGTTAAAGCTGGAGTAAAACCAGTGCCGAGGTACACGCAGCTCTCCTTTTCAAATGCAATAAAGAGAAATAGGTTAAGGGTGCATGTTTATCCATTAATGAATGAGTGGGTAAACATAATGTGGGCTATCCATACAATAGAATAATTATTGGTCATAGAAAGGAATGCAGGGCTTCCCTGGTGGCGCGGTGGTTGAGAGTCCGCCTGCCGATGCAGGGGACACAGGTTCGTGCCCCGGTCCGGGAAGATCCCACATGCCGCGGAGCGGCTGGGCCCGTGAGCCGTGGCCGCTGGGCCTGCGCGTCCGGAGCCTGTGCTCCGCAACGGGAGAGGCCACGACAGTGAGAGGCCCGTGTACCGCAAAAAAACAAACAGACAAACAAAAAACAGAAAAGCAGCCCTAATCCATGCTGTTCCAACATGGGTGAACCTTGAAGACATTATGCTAAGTGAAAGCGTAAGACAGTCGCGAAGGCCACATAGTATATAATTCCGTTTATATGAAATGTCCAGAATAAACAAATTTATAGAGACAGAAAGTAGATCAGAAGGTGAAGGAAGCCGGGGGGAGAAGGGCACTGCTAGCGGACAGGGCGTTTCTCTTTGGGGTCATGAAAATTTTGGAATTGCAAGCGGTGATGGTTGCACAACCCTGTGAATTGAGTGAAAACTACAGAATTGTACACTTTAAATGGATGAATTTTCTAGTCTGTAAATTATATCTTAAAAAAAAAGAAAAAAGGAGTCCTGTTCTGGGTTCAGACAGTCTGGAAATCAAACTTGGCTGCCAGCTATGTGGCTATGGGCAGCTTATCTGGACTCTCAAAGGCATAGTATAATCTCACTTCTAAAATAGAAATGATAACAGAGTGTGAACCTTAAAAAGTTATTGTGAGGATTCAGGTTGCTAAGGCATGGCGGGTTCTTAGCCCAGTGCCTGGCACAGAGCGATTACTTCCTACATGTCAGTTACTACCTCTAGAGAGAAGGTTGTGTGGGAAGAGATTTTACAAATCAGTGCAGTTTGAACAATAAGAATTATTTGCTGGAATCCTTAGCTTGGGAGTCATGACTCTTCTCTTCCCACAGGGGCAGAGCAGAATGACCCAGGGCTAGAGCTGCCCATGTAGATCTTCAAACCTAGAGCTCAATTTCCACCTCATCCTTATTGTTTTTAGGGCCCATGTCAATAACTGAGAATTATTGTGCAATAAATTCTGAATACTTCACAAGTTAAAATTTAGAAATGTTGTTTGCACCTAAACTTGTTACAAAAAGCACAGCTAGCTACTTTACAATTGTTTTATTTTATATCTCTGTCTAGTCATAAGTACTATGAGTTTTCAGTAATTATTTTTGCATGGGACCAAACCTTAATATGGAACAAAGATCCTTTTAAAGGTATTTGAAACAGTTCCCGAAGAGATTGTAATTTGGATTGTTCCATAGTAAAAATGTTGTTTATTGTGGTCATGTTATAGTAGAACTTGAGTGACTTTTAAAAATATACCTGTTTATATGCCAGGTTATTAAATGAGATACAGTTTAATGTAGTTTACTTTTCATTTCGGAGGTATAAACATTTGCCCCAAAACCGAGGGGATAAGGCATTACTGCATATCAGTATGTTAATGTCCTAACTATGAATTGACTATTCTTTCCTTAAGATATGGAGATGCTTAAGTATTGTCTAAAGAAAATCTGTTCTTTCACCCAAATACAATTAGTAGAAAGAAAAAAAAACCCCATTGATGCTTTGATAAGTAATTTTTAAATTTGGCTAATTGCTGTTTCTTTCTTATAGCGTGGGGAAGGGCAGCTGCCGCCATGCTCTTCTGTGGCTTCATTATCCTGGTGATCTGTTTCATCCTGTCTTTCTTTGCCCTCTGCGGATCCCAAATGCTTGTCTTCCTGAGAATGATTGGAAGCCTCCTGGCCCTGGCTGGTAAGACTGTGCGCCAGCAATCCTTTCTTCCTATCTGCAGGGGACATCAATATAATAATGTCCACACCACAAAGAAGATCTCTGACAATACAGTTCCTGATCTGTTCTCGGAAAATGTGTCACCAAAGGCAGAAGTAACAGAGGAGAGATGTATTTTAAGAGCTGGATCCCTTTTATCCTCTGCCTGAGACAGCGTTCCATGTCCCCCATCCAAGTGAGGAAGGTTGTCACTCTACCTGCTGGTATCTCTCGTAGATGACCCTATGCTCCTGACACCCCTGTCCCGAGGGACCAGGGCTGGAAGTGCAGTGTCTCCATAGTGGTCCCAGGCTGGCCTCCCATGAGCCCCATGCCTGAGGGGACTGGAATGTCCCTGAACCATTGCACTTGTTGAAGGCGTTCTGCAGTCTTAGGATGTGGTGGGTCACAGAAGGGTTTTCTGCAGTGGGATGGGGGATCTGGGAGGGGCCAGATCTGGAATTGCCTCTTTGCAGCTTAGAGCCAGGGTTGGGGGATGGGAAACTTAGTTATGCAGCTGGGTGGGGCTTGGAGAGAACATTTATTAAGGCAATATAAGAACTAGCAAGAATCTAGAGGCAAGAATTATTTGAAATTTTAGGTGGGCACCTGGCAGTAGGGAAGTCTGCCAAAGGAGCAGGACCCCAGCCACAGAGCTGGATTTAGATGCAAATCTGGATTTCCTGAGGAGGGGAAAGAAGAAGAAGATGCTGGTAAGGGCAAAGTGAGGCGGCCATAGTCCATTTCTCAAGCTACCAACTTAGGCTCATGGAACAAAAGCCGAAGTCCAGCCACAGACCTGGGGTATAAATACAAAGTGAGCATATGGTTTTGGAAACAAGTCAGAAGCCTTGTAACTAGAGGGGTCCATAGGATCAAGCCTGAGCCTGAGTGGGACCACTGTGCACAGGGTTCCCTGAGTACAAAGAAGGTGATGGCAGGATCTAGGGCAGGATAAGTGAGGAGCAAAAAGGCCCTGGCTGGGAGGAAGGAGGTAGCCTCCGAGAACCAGCCAGTGCAGGTCTAACCATCCCCTGTACATTTAAACGTGTCTCTTGATTCAAAATAAAGTTTACTCGAGTGTTCCTCATGTTTCAAACTTTGCTTTTGGAATAATATTTTAGAATCAGAAATGGCTAGGAATCACAAAACATATGAAGAATCTTCCCCCTCCACTTTTATTTGGTGTTTTGTAGTTCAAATTTACAAGACCTTATCAGAGAAACAATTTGATGTAGCTTCCTATCACATGTCTTAGAAGACTAGGTAGATGCCTATATAAATCAGCATTAGAAATAACACTATGACATTAACGTTCATTGAAGAATCCTTTATGACCCATCAATTCCACTTCTAGGTATATATCCAAAAGAACCAAAAGCAGGGATTTGAATAGGTACTTGTATGTCCATGTTCATAGTAGCGTTATTCACAATAGCCAAAAGGTGGAAACGACCCAAGTGTTCAGCAGCAGATAAATATATAAACAAAATGTAGTCTATACATACAATGGAATATCATTCAGCCATAAAAAGGAATGAAATTTTGATGTGAGCTACAAATGGATGGACCTTGAAAACGTTATGCTGAAAGAAATAAGGTAGATACAGAAGGACGAATATTTTATGATTTCACTTGTATGAAGTACCTGGAATAGGCAAATTCACAGAGACAGAAAGTCGACTGGAGGTTACCAGCAGCCGAGGGGAGGGGGTAATGGGTACATATTGTGGATGTTGAAAATGTTTTAGGTATGGATAGTGGTGATGATTACACAACATTGTGAATGTATTTAATGCCACTGAATCGAACACTTAGCAAATGGTTAAATTGATAAATATTATGTTGAGTATATTTTACCAAAATCAAAAGAAATCCTAGTAAAACTCTTCTGTCCACCTTAACATTAAAACATTAAGATCTAGTAATTGCCATCTCTAGCTAACAGGGCTGCAGGAGTTATTGTAAAAAAAACTCGTTCTGGTGAGTTTCGATAGATAAACAGCTGAACTGTCCTGCTTAACCCCGTGTTCTCATTTTACAATTTAATTCTCCTCGTCTTCAAAGCTGGACAAGTGGAATGGGAAATGTTTAATAGAAAAATAAAAAGCCTAGAAATCTCAATACATTTTTAGTGGTAATAATGTTGAATAAGCCCTATTTGATTTTTAAGATATATTTCATAACAATTCTTTTTAATTTGATGTATATTATTGGGTTAAAATCAGAATAATTGAACACCAATACAATTTAGATTTTGTAAAAATTGATCCAAACCATTACAAGAACTTCGTGTGATGAACCAAAATGGGTAAATAACAATGTTCAACATTTATTACTAGGCATATTAGAGAAAAATGCAGAGAAGTGTTCCTTTTGTGCCATACACAATGATTTGCAGAAAATGACAAACTTAACTAGTGAGAGTTTGTTATTTAAACTAGACAGAAAGTGGGACTTCCCTCGTGGTCCAGTGGGTAAGACTCTGCACTCCCAGTGCAGGGGGCCCGGGTTTGATCCTTGGTGGGGGAACTAGATCCCACATGCATGCCGCAACTAAGAGTCCGCATGCCACAACCGAAAAAAAAAAAAAAAAAAAGATCCTGCATGCCGCAACTAAGACCTGGTGCGGCCAAAATAAATAAATAAATAAATATTTAAAAATAAATAAAGTAGACAGGAACCAGAGAAATATTTAAGATCTGCACTAAGATTGCCTTTCATAAGTTGCCAAAGAAGAACATTTTAAGTTGGGAAATAGAAGCAACAAAGCAAGATGTGGAAACATCTACAGCCTTTCTAGTAATTAAAAAAAAAAAAAAAGAAAGAAAACTAGTTAAGTGTATATCTGTGGAGCTAGTAGAAAAAAGTTAAGGTGAAAGAAAAGTGGCGGTGAGGACTGTTCACTCCCTGACATACTCCTGGGAGCTCAGCCAGCTGATCCCTCTTTGTGAAGAGTAGCATCTGAATGTCACAGAGCTAAAATCTGCTTATACCCAGAGTCATGGCAATGCACATACTAAATACTAGGTAAAAAATGCATAGCATAGCATGTGTATACTCATTAGAGCTTTATAGAATTATGCATGTTCGTTGAAAAAGACTACAAAGTAGATTTAATAAATTCCTTTTATTTTTAAGCGGTGTAAATTGTTAATACATGATTAATAATAATTGTCATAATGTGACTCATATCAAAGAGTTTAGAAATTTTTTTGACATATGTTTTCCTTCCCGTACCTTCCCTTTCACTTGTGTTTTTTTTTTTTTTTTTTTTGCGGTACACGGGCCTCTCACTGTTGTGGCCTCTCCTGTTGCGGAGCACAGGCTCCGGACGCGCAGGCTCAGCGGCCATGGCTCACGGGCCCAGCCGCTCCGCGGCACGTGGGATCTTCCCAGACCGGGGCACGAACCCGTGTCCCCTGCATCGGCAGGCGGACTCTCAACCACTGCGCCACCAGGGAAGCACCCCTTTCCCTTTCTAAAGCACTGTGGTTATTCCCCTCTTTTGCTTCTATTTCCCCAGAGGCTGGAATGCTCTTCTTCCTCCCCTCCATCTCTTCATTTCTATTTATTCTTCAGATTCCCCCTTCCTCTGCAGGCTTTTCTGCTGATTCTCCCATTGATCATTCGCATCAATGATTCATTGTTTTATTTAGTCATTTATTTATTGAATGAATATTCCTCTATCTGTGTCTGTGTGTGCATACACACAGACATATGTATATGTACATATATGTTTCATTTTGCTAACACTGATAATATTAACTTATGTTTGGCACAGGAAAAGCAAAGATGAAAAAGTAGGCTCTCCTCTACCCTCTTGCTTCCTATTGCACACCACAATTCAGCACGTTTTACTTTAGTATACACAATGCTTACATATGTACATGAATCTCTAATTTTCTGTCTGTATTTCATATACTCAGTATTCTACTCAGTGCCAGGTATCTCTGACACACAACATTCAGTCATCTTTTTTGGCTTATGATTAACTAGACTCCCCCAGCCCCTTTTATCAGCACTATTTAGGTGGATTTAATACTTACTTTAAGGCAAAAATGTTGTGGAAGAGGAAATAATCTGTTGTTACCATGCATTCATTCATTCATACCTTCATACTTTGTATTTTTTTTTTCCTTCCTTTTAGCTGTGTTCCAGATCATCTCCCTGGTAATCTACCCTGTGAAGTATAACCAGACCTTTATCTTGGCTAACAACTCTGGTGTCCTTTACATCTATAACTGGGCCTACGGCTTTGGGTGGGCGGCCACAATTATCCTGATTGGCTGTGCCTTCTTCTTCTGTTGCCTCCCCAACTATGCAGATGACCTGCTGGGCAATGCCAAGCCCAGGTACTTCTACACATCTCCCTAAGGTGGGGAATGAGCAGAAGAACATCACTGCTGCTGAGATGGATTCCAGAGAAAGAAACTGTTTCCCCCGGAATACTCTGAACCTATGTTTGGGGCAGTGTTCATATCATTAAACTATAGTCAAAATGCTAAAATACGTTGGGAGAGAATATTTCTTAAATAGTTTTAGAGTTTCATATTCATCTTTTATCTGTGATTTGTAGAGTTAAACAAGTCTTACTTCTTTTAACTAATTACCTAATTACTAATATGCCAGTGTTTCCTTATATCTAGCCATACCATTTATATTGCATTTGTAAGAGAATATGAGAAGGAAACTTATGTAATTTATAAGGTAAAAATGAGAAGGCTTCAGAGATTTGAGTAATCTGATCAGGTTTCTGTTTTTCCCAGATGGAATGAACTGGGTCTATTAAGGACTAAGGAGAAGAGGAAAATACTGGAAAAAATTGCCAGTGACCAAATATTCTAAAAGAAATGCAAAAAATAAATATTTTTTCAAACCTTCAGCTATTTAAAGAAGCAAAGTCATTTCCTAAATGCATATCATTTGTGAGAATTTCTAATTAACATCATGAATAATTGATTTGGGGCTAAGCTTCCCGTTAACTTGATATGGCATCTAGGAAAGTATTCTTTCATAGCCAAAGCCTGTTGCAGTAGTAAGACCTCTTTAAGTAGTGAAATATTAAGATGAAATTTTCTCTTTTAAAGTGGTTTGTAGGGTTGGGGTGTGGTAAAGTGCTACTAATAATTCTGTGCTGTTTGGTGTCTATATATTCTAGACTAGGGTAGACTGGATTAAAAGATGGATTGGTCTAATTCGTCGTAACCTCTAGGTGGGATTAGGTTGTTCAGTAAACCATTAGGAGGGCCATTCCCACCACAAAAGTAACATTAAAACAGCCTAAAGAGAAGAAATGGCTTGAATTTTTTGTCTTAGGCTTGACCGGGCTCTAATCATGTAGACACAGCTTCTGATAGATTGCAGCTGTAATCAAAAACTCAAATACGGTTAAAAACCTGGTTTCCCTTGGTAAACAGATTAAAAATATCTGAGGTAAAACATGCAACGGGAGAATTCAGGGATGTGGGATTTCTCTGAATGGCAAATATGATATATCACATGGATTTTTTTTTAATATTTGTACTTATGTAATGAAAACCAATTCATTTTATGTATCAAATTATTATTTTGTAAGTTGTAAAAATAAGCAGTTGCAGTTTTCATTATGAATTTTTCCCAATAAACCAGGTGTTCTAATCTTGTATCTAGTTTGCAGTTTTTTTTGGTTTTGCTTCTCAGCCCCCTCTCCCCCACCCTACCGCCAATCTGAAGAAGGGGATTTTTTTTTTTAACATCTTTATTGGAGTATAATTGCTTTACAATGTTATGTTGGTTTCTGCTGTATAACAAAGTGAATCAGCTATACATATACATATATCTCCATATCCCCTCCCTCTTGCATCTCCCTCCCACCCTCCTTATCCCACCCCTCTAGGTGGTCACAAAGCACCGAGCTGCCCTCCCTGTGCTATGCGGCTGCTTCCCACTAGCTATCTATTTTACATTTGGTAATGTATATATGTCCATGCCACTCTCTCACTTCGTCCAAGTTTACCCTTCCCCCTCCCTGTATCCTCAAGTCCATTCTCTACACCTGTGTCTTTATTCCTGTCCTGCCCCTAGGTTCTTCAGAACCATTTTTTTTTTAGATTCCATATATATTTGTTAACATACGGTATTTGTTTTTCTCTTCCTGACTTACTTCACTCTGTATGACAGACTCTACGTCCATCCACCTCAGTACAAATAACTCAATTTCATTTCTTTCCATGGCTGAGTAATATTCCATTGAATATATGTGCCACATCTTTATCCATTCATCTGTCAATGGACACTTAGATTGCTTCCATGTCCTGGTTATTGTAAACAGTGTTGCAATGAACATTGTGGTACATGACTCTTTTTGAATTATGGTTTTCTCAGGGCCTATGCCCAGTAGTGGGATTGCTGGGTCATATGGTAGTTCTATTTTTAGTTTTTTAAGGAACGTCCATACTGCTCTCCATAGTGGCTGTATCAGTTTACATTCCCACCAGTAGTGCAGGAGGGTTCCCTTTTCTCCACACCCTCTCCAGCATTTATTGTTTACAGATTCTTTGATGATGGCCATTCTGACCAGTGTGAGGTAATACCTCATTGTAGTTCTGATTTGCATTTCTCTAATGATTAGTGATGTTGAGCATCCTTTCATGTGTTTGTTGGCAATCTGTATATCTTCTTTGGAGAAATGCCTATTTAGGTCTTCTGCCCATTTTTGGATTGGGTTGTTTGTTTTTTTGATACTGAGCTGCGTGAGCTACTTGTAAATTTTGGAGATTAATCCTTTGTCAGTTGCTTCATTTGCAAATATTTTCTCCCATTCTGAGGGTTGTCTTTTGGTCTTGTTTATGGTTTCCTTTGCTGTGCAAAAGCTTTTAAGTTTCATTAAGTCCCATTTTTTTACTTTTGTTTTTATTTCCATTTCTCTAGGAGGTGGGTCAAAAAGGATCTTGCTGTGATTTATGTCATAGAGTGTTTTGCCTATGTTTTCCTCTAAGTTTGGTAGTGTCTGGCCTTACATTTAGGTCTTTAATCCATTTTGAGTTTATTTTTGTGTATGGTGTTAGGGAGTATTCTAATTTCATTCCTTTACATGTACCTGTCCAGTTTTCCCAGCACCACTTATTGAAGAGGCTGTCTTTTCTCCATTGTATATTCTTGCCTCCTTTATCAAAGGTAAGGTGACCATATGTGCATGGGTTTATCTCTGGGCTCTCTATCCTGTTCCATTGATCTATCTTTCTGTTTTTGCGCCAGTACCATACTGTCTTGAATACTGTAGCTTTGTAGTATAGTCTGAAGTCCGGGATCCAGATTCCTCCACCTCTGTTTTTCTGTCTCAAGATTGCTTTGGCTATTCGGGGTGTTTTATGTTTCCATACAAATTGTGAAATTTTTTGTTTTAGTTCTGTGAAAAATGTCATTGGTAGTTTGATAGGAATTGCATTGAATCTGTAGATTGCTTTTCTCAGGGTCTGTGCCCAGTAGTGGGGTAGTAAGAACATTGGATAAAATGAAAAGTTGCTTTTATCAATTTCAAGTTTTAAGGGTCCTGCTCATTTTAGGTGAGCATTAAAAAAACAATTTTTGAATGAACTTTAATGGTTTCTAGTAGTCTGCTCCCTGAACTTCCTCCTCAGTGACCAATACCCAGGACACAGATATCAAACAGTATTTTTGCAGTGCTGTCACCAGAGGGACTAGACCAAGAGCTTTCTGGTAGGTCTAGACACCCGGGAACATTAGTGTGGTTTAGTTGGTGGTTCTCCTATCTTCCGTGGCACAGCTTCCTGCTTGAGATGGGATCTTCTTCCATTCAGGTCATGGGACTGCAAGCAGAGTCCCTTTACTTCTTTCCCTCTTGTCCATCTTCCATTTGCTGGTTGATCGTTCTTTTTTCCATGATGGCTCGTAGGTGAATTCTCCTCTGGTATATATAAATGTGAAGAAGGGTTGCAGAGTAGCATGGTGGGAGAAAGGATATTTCTTCTTAGTGCTTCTGTTGGCCAGTTGGTCCTTGGCAGTGACTTTTTCTTCTGTGCGTTTCAAAATTTGAGGTGAACGTTTCTCATCATAAATCCACAAGGATCTGGTCTGGGTGATTGTTTACACCAAAATTAAAACAAAAAACCCCAGGGTTTGAAGTGATCATTAACAATGTTTAAAATGCCATCTTTTAAAATAATTGCATAGCTAATTCAAGACGATAATGGATATCTAGAGATTCAGAAGCTGGGTCTCCCATTGGACATGAAAATGACTCTCAGATACAGGTCCTCTAAAGCAAGCATTTTTGTCTTTGGATTTTTTTCCCTTCCAACTCTCTTCTTTCCCTCCTAAACAAGTAACACACTAGATCCTAATGATGCACATTTAGGAAAAATACAGCTTCCTGGAATCCATGGTCTGTACTAACAGAAACATTTCTGCTGGAATGTCTGTGACAAAGACAGAGGAAGCATCATTACTTTGGTTAAAATGTTCCGCTTCTTTCAGCCTTGTTCCAGCATAGAGATCCTCCATTCCTTGTTAGTTCATGTTCATTGGGACAGAAACCTTTCTGTCATAAACAGAGCAGGAGAATTCCAGGGAATTCAGGAAAGTAATGGAGAATTTGACTGAGAAGCCATCTGGGGACTAACAATGCATTGCATGAGATTTCCCATGATTAAGCCAAGCTGGTTTCTAGCTCTGTAATTATATTGAGTCCCCAACCTTTAAACAAGCAGTTCTAGGTTCCCAAACAATTATCTCACACTCCCACTGTAAGTAGTCAGGTATGCCAAGTGCCATTTACCACTGAATGTAACAAAGAGGTAATGTGTCTAGGACTTTGAGGTCTCACACAAAGTAACTGTGGAGTGTAATTACTTTTAGCTTCAAAACCATACATTGCAGGGCTGACATTAAAGTTTGATAGGCTTTCCTTCCTTAAGAGAATCAAAACAATGGAAAAATATAGTCATAATAACCTCATTAGGTTGATTTTTGCTACAAACTCCTGATGACAGTCCTATTAATATAATAAACACAAATGCTGAATCGACTTCTTTTGTTTTCCTAGGAAGACCTGAAAAGGGCATATTTGAGTCTCATCCCATTGTTGGCTCCTGCTAGCTATGCAGGAGTTTATAGCTTGAGTGGTTTACCACCCCATGTGTTTCATAACCTCAACTGTAAAATGATTGCAATGATCCTTTTCCTTCAGAATTCTCTGATTCAGTGTGTTTGTATGTGTAGCTGCTCATTTATTAATTTACTCAAATATTGTTGGGCAAAGGAAAAATGGTAAAGTGATGCTATTTTTTTGGTGTGTTTTTTCAAGTTGATTTTCATAACTAGAGACAATGACTAACATCTTTTTAATACTGTGATGGAATTTTTTTCTTTAATTG